GAGCTGGGGTTCTTTAGCCTGGACAAAAGGAGGCTCGGGGGGATCCTCATTGCTCTCTACAACTCCCTGAAAGGAGGTTGTAGCCAAGTGGGGGTCAGTCTCCCAGGCAACTAGCGACAGGACAAGAGAACAGAGTCTTAAGCTACGCCAAGGGAAGCTCAGGTTGGACATTAGGAAGAAGTTCTTCACAGTAAGAGTGATTGGGCATTGGAATGGACAGCCCAGGGAGGTGGTGAAGTCACCATCCCTGGAGGTGTTTTAAGAAAAGACTGGATGAGGCACTTAGTGTCATGGTCTAGTTGACAAGATGGAGTTAGGTCATAGGTTGGACTCGATAACCTCAGAGGTCTTTTCCAACCTCGTTGATTCTCTGATTCTGTGAATTCTTTTACGAACCACTTAAATACATTAAATGTGTCTAGTAAATCCATTTGTATAAAAAGTGGGACATGTGCCTGGAACAGTAGGTACCTTCTTATCCTGAACAACCGGCTTTGCCTCTGGACACATCTTGTATTTCTGCTGTGCTAGTCAAAAGACCTTTACTCACAAGTGCTTCAAATAGTGGAATAACTTGCATTTTGCTCAGCCATTTGCAGGCGAGAACACCACAGTTGGATTCTTGAGTGCAACAGTGCCCCTGTGACAAGTGACAAGTAAGAAAGCAAATAAAAGCAAGTCCTCTCCTTTACTTAAACAGTAAAACTTATATTTAAGTGTCTTCACAGGAACGTGCTTTGGGTAAACAGGTGTCTGACACACTACTAGACTTTTTATGCCAAGTTCTTAAGGAACATGCTGTATGAGGAGTTGCACTTTTTCAGACCAGGAACACAAATGCTCTCCCTTTCCCCCTTGATGAGTGGTGGGTGGGCCTGGCAGCTTACTGAAGCAGTAGAGCTCATTTCGGTTTTAAATTCAGATGTCTTGGGTTGTTTGCAGTGCATATGCTTCTCTGCAGGCACCCAGCATTACCTTGTAAACTTTGCCTCTTCTGCACCTGTTATTTGCAGAATGATCTTGAGTACTAGCTTCTATGGAAAAGGATTCCACCTTGTGCATCTTCCCTGGTCTTTCAGCAGTAATTTCTCCTTTTTCTTTCTCTACTGTCTGTGTCTAATCTAGTCTATCACCATAACACTGGCACTACAAAGGCAGTATTTTTCAACAATGTCCAAAATTAGAACATTACAGTCTGGACAGGTGCACTACTCAATCATTAACAAACTAGTGGAATAATTGGGCTCAGAGCATTAAAGTCAGTGGGTCATACTCCAATTGCACAGCAGTTACAAATGGAACACTGCAATGATCTATTCTGGAATGTGTCCAGGTGAACATCTTTACGAGTAATCTGGAGCAGATGCATTATCAAACAACGCACAGCACCAAACTGGGGGGAACAGTTGATACACTCAAGGGCAGGGCTGCCATTTAGAGGAACTTGGGAGAGCTGGAGGAAAGGGCTGACAGCAAACTCATGAAATTCAACAGGACTGGAGCACCTCCCCTCCAGGACAAGCTGAGGAAGTTGGAGCTGTTCAGCCTGGAGAAGAGATTGTGAGGGCCCCCCTGAAGGAGGCCTATAGGAAAGCCAGAGAGGGACTCTCTGTCAGGAACTGTAGTGACAGGATGAGGAGTAATGGGTACAAACTGAAAGAGAAGAAACTTAGGATAGATATTAGGAAGAAATTCTTTATTGTGAGAGTGGTGAGACACTGGAACAGGTTGCCTAGGGAGGTTGTGGATGCCTCAACCCTGGTGACGATCAAGGTCAGGTTGGATGGGACATTGCTGCTGGGAGGTGTTCCTGCCCATGGCAGGGGTGTTGGAACAAGATGATCTTTAAGGTCCCTTCCAACCCCTTAACATTCTATGATTCTATGAACGTGGGCAAGTGCCTTTTTCTCAAGGGAAGGAAAAGCCCCTGCGAACCACGCAGGCAGACTGGGAGACCTTTTTAACATCATGGCTGACCTTTCAAGCAGGGGAATGGACCAGACACCTCCCGAGTTCACTTTCAGACCACGATATCCTGATCTGACAATCCAATAATGTGTCGACTACAGATATGGGGAGGGTCACCAGATCTCTCCCACTAAGTCCTCGGTGCCACGACTCCCACCAGCTCCCGCCCAGCCGGCAGCACCGCCCCGTGCCCGCCCCTCCACAGCTCGGCGGGCTCGGCGAGGCGGGGCCGGGCAAGGGGAAGAGGAATAGGAATCCCTTCCGGCGCAGCCCGGCAGCCATGGCCGATGAGGAGGAGGACGTGCCGGTGAGTGGCGGGAGGGGCTGCAGTTCCCGGTGGTCCCCATCCCATCCCAGCAGCGGGAAGGGGCCGGGTCCCGGCGGGCGCTGACCGCGGCCTCTCCCCGCTGTGCCCGTGCAGTTCGAAGAGGACGCGGAGGACGCCGGCGGGGGCCTGGACGGCGGGCAGGGCAGGAGGAAGAGGCTGTTCTCCAAAGAGCGTGAGTCGAGCTGGGCCGGACAGCCCAGCCCAGCCAGGACGGGTCATTCAGCTGAAACTCTGAGCAGATAGCTATGGAGTTCCTAAACTCACTTTTCCTTAGCAAAACAGCGGCTTTCATTTTGTGCCCTGGCTGCAAGTGCAGAAAGCTGTCATGTAGACAGACCTCCCCCAAAAATACTGCTGGTGCATCCTCTGAACCGAGCTGTGCCCCAAGTCGGTTGTGCTGTAAGTCAGTGTGTAGGGCTTTGCAGGCTAAATGAGTATTTAAAGAGCTTTTCATCAGATGTGCTTTTCTGCCTGTACAGCACCTGGCTTTTGTTGGTTTCTGTTTATTTCCTGTATGTTTGCTCAAGTATTGGCCTGCCTAACAGACAAGAGCTACATTCCTGCACCACCCTGGAGCAGGAATGTGCAGGCTGGTGAACTCTAACTAGATGTGTGCTGCTGACACTACTGAATGGATGAAAGGAGCCTCACACTGAGTGTTTCTTTGTGCAGTAAGATGCATGATGTATGGATTCGGGGATGACCAGAACCCTTACACAGAATCCGTGGACATTCTTGAGGACCTGGTAATAGAGTTTATCACAGAAATGGTAAGTCAGCTCTAGACAGCATGGTCAAAACATCCTCACAAGGACTTCAGTCTTCTAAATAATACCTCTGACTCAAATACTGCATTATCCCAGGCCCCAAAGTCATGGTGCTAGTAGGAGAAAGCTAAACTTGGATTTTGCTTTTCCAAGAGAAAGGCAAAATTCATGCATCTTGTTCCATGTGGATTTAGAAAACTGAAGTCCTTAAGTAGTGGTTAAATTAGTATTGTAGGAGAGGAAATTCACATCTGACTTTGGGGGTCACTGTGGCATCACTGTATGTGCAGCTGACAGAAGACAAGGCTCAGCTTCGAAAATCTGTCAACTTTTTGTGTTGGCCCAGTGTCTTTATGTGGATGGGAATGTAGCTCTGCTGCAAAAGAAATGCATTCTGGGGCCTGAAACCATTACTCTACCAGGTATTTGGTTACTCTTTTAAAGTATCCAAGCATTCCCCTTTCTTTTGAAAGGTTGCCCTTGCCTTTCCTTATCAAAATACCCTACACTGTCCTCTTGATAGGGTTACTTCACATTGCTTCCAAGTTGTGCCTGATCTTAAGGCTTTTTGCAGGCTGGGCATCATACTTGTAATCTAGCTTTAGTTTTGATGCCATTATGTGATGTATATATACTGCTATATGTAGGTGTAGGTGACAGGGAGGTGGGGACAGCAGAGCAACAGTAAGTCCATGGTTTACTGGGAAGTTCTGTTGTGACTAGGATGATGGTGCCCAGGTCCTCCAATTGCTTACTTTGTTACAAAATTACAGGAAATAAAGTGGAATTGAGAACTTAAAAGAGTGGCAAAGGAACCCTGTTGACTTTCCTTTTTTCCCCTCTGACAGACACACAAGGCCATGTCAATCGGGCGGCAGGGCCGCGTACAGGTCGAGGACATTGTCTTTCTAATTCGCAAGGACCCCCGGAAGTTTGCCAGGGTTAAAGACCTCCTTACTATGAATGAAGAACTGAAACGAGCCAGAAAGGCCTTCGATGAAGCAAACTACGGATCTTGATTCTGTGCACAAGCTGCACTGGGGCTTCATTTGGGCTGCCCAAGTAACGGCAGCTGCCCAGTAAGAAGGAAGATCGTGTGTGTTGTTTGGAGGGGTTATTCAGGATGAAGGTCACTGCTGGGATGTCTGCCCTCACTCCCAGCCTTTTCTGAGAACTATTCAAGCAGCTGAAATGTTATCTGATTGTATGTGGTATACTTGGGTATTTTTACACCATTTTAGGAAATGAAAAATTCCTGTAATGGCAGGAAGTCTGTTTGAAGTAGGCCTGTGTAAGTAGGCCTGTGTTGTATCAGATGACTAGATGGCTGATGATACATGATTCTCTACAGCTATTTCAGTTATCACTGGGTACTCCTGTGAGAGGAAACCCAGAAAATGGATCTTGGTTATCTGGACACAGGCTGGACACAGGCTTCAAGCCCAAACTACTCTAAAAGTTCTGCTTTTTGCTCTGTATATGCTCTTTGAATAAAACATTTTAAGTTTGTGCCTACACATAACTAAACTTACATTGATCGATTCACACAAGATGCACAATAGAGGGGTTTTTACACTTAACAGGCTAGGAAGGTTATTTTAATTTTTGTCCTGGTGGGCACAGCTCTTTTATTTTCTACCGCTCTTAAGCCTAAGAAATTGAACTTAGCCCATTCCTGATTTACTTTCACTTACAGCCTTTCCTTACCCCTCTTAAGCAGGTGCTCTCTACCAAACCAGATTCCTGTTCTTTGTTCTGAGAATTTTTTTCCTTAATATTTCCTGGTGATCCTGCTCACGGGAATTACTTACAAGCAAAAGCCTGGCAGAAACTACTAGGCCCATTGCTTGTTCTAACACTATGGAATACCTGTACCTTACATTGCCAAGCAGACAAAAATTGCCCTTATATTAAAAAGATTTTGGGACAGTGAGAAACATGTTCATCAGTCAGGAGTTTACTGTTGCAGGCCAGACTGTGCTTTCCCCTATTTCTGGAAAAGCAGTAGGTTCAGCTAACTCATTTCAGGACAAAAGCAACAAATGCTAAAACAGCAATACTACTGCATGTCAAGGCTGTCCCCTCTACAAGCAGCACAGAAAGAAGGGTGTATGACTTGGAAAAGTGTCTACAAGTCTTTTGTTCTAAGCAGCAGTAAGTGATCAGCTGCAGCCTTCTGCTGTGGATGGTAACTAACTGCACTGTGGATTTGACAGCAGCACTTAACATGTGGTCGAGCAATAGAGAAGAGTCACTGAGTGAGGGTAACAAAGTCGCTGCTCCTGGATGAGGCCAGGTAAAAGGATGAAGACTATTCAGCTGTTTGGAACACCCTTAAAATATGAAAAAACACCCATTAAAAAAAGCTGTTTTACAAAAACAAAAAAATGGTTGCTACTTTCTTAGCAGAATTCACGATTTGAGTTACTGAGACAGAATTAGAGTTCAGATGGTTTTACTTTAAAAAAAATAAAATAATTGAAATTACTTCCTTCAATCCAGGGTCAGACACCTATTGCTGCAAAAATAGAATCAATATCCGTGTTCTCAGTAGATTCTTTCCATGCAGGGCCGGGGCTTCCTTCAAGCAGCAGCTGCTTGGGGGTCCCTGCTGTGCTTAGTCTGACACGGGCTGTATCAGCATCAGAACATTGTTCTTGACTCAGAGGTCCATCCTGGTAGGCGGGGAGGATGAGTGATGCACTTGTCTCACAGATCCCAGAAAGTTCAGAAGGCTTTTGCTGAACAGTCTTCAGAGCTCTCTTCAAGCGTGCAGATGATTTGATCCTCCTTGGACAGAGCCATGCCCCGAGGTACCGCCTTGGCCAGCGTGTGTGTTGGGACCCATACAGGAGGTATTTACGGACAGATGTTTTGACACAGCGCAGTTTTTTCTTCAAGCTTAAAAGGAGGAAGGTGCACAAAACATAACTTTATCAGATACTGAAGTGTTACTTCATTTGGAGTTTGGAGAGGTTTAGCCTTTATCATTTTCCTTGTCATACCAAGGAAACATAACAGCACCTTCTATATAGCACTACTATGATAGTACCCAGGGCAATCTGAAGAAAGACAACTCTTGCATCATACAACTTTTACCATTAAACATGCAGATTATTTAAGTTGCATTTGTTATGTATTTGTGCATTTGTTAGCCTTTTAGATCCTTTCACAAGTGACTGATGCTAAACAGAATGCTCATGTCAGAGCATCCAGTAACCTGAACTAGTGATCCCGTGTTTAAAAAGAATGGCTTAGACCACTGTGTTTCACTATACTGTAGCAATATACATATTAAAATGTCATCCAGCAATTAAAATTACATCCAGAAATCCCACACCCATGCAAAAACTACCTGCATCCTTGAGCTTCCACGTGGTGCAGCCGGTTGCTTTTCAACAACTTGTTACGCAGAAAATAAGCTTCTGATTTGAATTTATTGTTTTTGCACCACAGAATAGCTTTTCTGAGTGCCTCTGACAGCTCCCCAAATGATGCAGCTGTTTGGACCATCTGTACAAGAGATTCAGTATGCTGTGACTTTGCTACACGAGAGGAAGGTGGTGCCAACTTTGCTTTAAAAGGTGTTGATGGCATGTTTATACCCTGAAACAATAACAGAAATATTAGTCTTTTAAAAAGATTATGTGCCTGGTCCTTTCTGGTGGAGGGGAGCAGAGTACTGAAGATTTTGTGAGAACATTCCTTATTTCCCAAGAAGAAAGAGAAATAGCACTCTTGTTTTGTGGAATACAAAAAGAAGATAATTAGAATTTGTATTCTTGTCTACTACTGAGCTCTCTGGTCAGTCACTTGACAAACCAAGAAATGCTCAAATTCCTAAGCAGAAATGAGTAGCGATTTTCTGTGCAAAGCTTCCACACTAACTAGGGTTGTCAGACAAGCAAAAATAAGGCAGGGAAAGGGGACATTTTCAATCAGGAATATTGTGTTAGGGTCTGTAAAACTGAAAAATAATGTGTAAAAAGATACCCTACAAACCTCTTGTGCTGGATGTCTGGATGGCTTAAGCAAGCTCTTCACATCAATCCCCAGGTACTTCCCTACAGAGAGAGAGGAGATTTCTCATTACAATGTTGAGATAGTTTTACGTCTTTGCACAGAGATGCTGCAGTGCTTTGCCATGCTGAGCTCTCAGCAGGTTCACACCTGTACTCAGCATTTCCAAGCAGCTCAAGGGGACTACACTCATCTTGCATTGCAGCTGGCAAGGGATGAAGAGGATGCAGAGATTTACAGATGGCTGCAAAGAACTTAATGGGTAAAAGCTTCACACAAACACCTGGATGCCTGCAGTCACTGGCCATAGCCCTGAGTACAGAGAAAGTCCTGGGCACAGTCCAGAACCAGCAAGCACAGGATACCTGCATCCTGTGCTTATAGCCTTGCCTACTCTTGTATGGACTGCAGACAGTGTTCTTAGCTTCTCACTATCCTTATCTATGCAGAAGGAGGAAAGTAAAAATAACTATTTTCAGGACCTGGATACTGCATTCATTATCTGCTTCTCTCCAGGCTGTATCCTCTTTAAAACAAACCCTCCAAAAAAAATCACAATGTTGACATTATCCACAGCTTTATAAAGGCAAGGTACATTCAGCATTCTCTTCTCCCAAGGACAGGAGAGGGGAGCTTGTACTAGAACCACACTCTGTGGTAAAAGTGCTTGGCTCTGTTGGACAGAAGCTGTGGTCAGTCTCTGAGATGTCAGAAACCATTTGCACTGTGGCACAAGGCTTTACCTCTGCTGGCTCTGGGCACCAGAACTGTCTCTCCGATATCCATGGGGCACGGGATGCTATGGTTTGTCACACCACTTGTACAGGTTACAAAATTTCTCTTTTTTCCAACCTCTGATACTGCCTCTGCCATTGTTGGGAAGAGCTTCTTCAACCAGCTGGTAGATTTTTTTGTTGTAAGCATTTTAGCCTTTTGCTTCTTCACCTCAGAAGATAGGTTAATTCCAAGGAAGTTACTGATATCAGAAGGGAAGGTAAACCCCTTGATATAAGGCATCTGTTGGGTCTCAGATACCAGCTGAAGTGTTGTTGACAAGACGTCATACAAGGACATGAGGGTCTGCAATACACACCTGTACTGAATCCTGAAGAGAGAAAAGACAAAGGTATGGAGTCTTCTCTAAGAAAACTTTATGCCCACTGAACAGCCCACCTTAATCTCAAACAGAAGAGATTCCAAGCTGCCCTTTCCCTGGTTTCCCTCAGTGCAAGCTTAGCTTTTTACACTCCATCACCCTGCTTTCCTTAAGTCTGAGCCTTAAGGAACCGTTAAGGATCAGAATGTAGGAGTGACTTGACTAGTAAATTCCCAATCAGGAGCCCCTCTGCTTCCCTAGAGTTTTGCAGAGTGCTACACCTGGGACTCATCAGGTTCTCGGGTCACATCCAAATCATTTGCCATGAGGTATTCCCCCAAAAGCACTCTGTACCAACTCAGGCTGATGCCATACAATTGCCTGCTCTATGTTTCCTGGAGAGACAGATTTCTTGTGCCAAAGAACATTTTACTGAGTTCTTCTACACAATGATGTTATTTTCCTGTACTGAGAGAGACCAGAACACCAATTTCCCTGGAAAACTCAGCAGTGTTATAGAACATGTTTATCCCAGCCCTTCCATTTCAGCAGGAGGCAGGACTTACTGCTTGCTGCACAGAGTACCAGGTGTCAGTGTTTGTGTCAGGCTGGCACTAACACTGTGATTTCATTAGTGCTACATAAAGTTTGCTATGAGCCAAGAACAAAGCCTTCCATAACAGCATGTAAGAAGTCTCTCTCCAGTTGTACAACTCTTCGGGTGCTACAATCAAGTCCAAAAGAATGGAGGGACAACCCTCTCCTCCTCCTCCCAACTGAATAAAGCTCACTTAGCAGCAAGGCCTAATTACAAGCCCTTACCCCTGACAGGCACATCAAACAGACAGACAGGCAACAAACAACAACTTTGAACACACAAACCATAGCCGGCTCAACAGCCCCAAAGCCACCGTGTTCAGAAGTATGAATTCCTTCGAGCAGAGATGTTTAATGGACAAGCTGAAGATTACAGCAGTTAAGGATAAAAAAGTAAACAGCATGTAATGAGACTTGCTGAACACACCAACTAGAGGCAATTCGCAAGGCGATACCCTGTAATAATTTGGGAGATGAGTATCCAAATTTTGAATTGCTCAAGGCCAGAACAGCAGCCAGCCAACAGCCTGAGGTTCCTACATAATAACTTGAAAATAAGGTGTTTGGCTATCAAACAAGCTTCAAGTTGCACATATGAATTGCACAGTTGAGTCCATTAGCAATACAGAGCCTCCAGCAGACCTAGGTTTGGATGTCATGAGGTGCTACTAGTGAATTGTAAGAATATTTTTATGATGAAAAAAGGATACAGAAAAGTTTTACTGCAACAGTCCAATAGACGCAGTATGAGCTTGCAGCCTCCCAATACCTTCAGAGCCACTGTTTCCAGCATGGGCTGGCTGGGAACCAAGCACTCTGCATGGGCTTCAGATGTATCTTTCCTACGTTGATACAAGGATGAGAAGATGGTTACGATCTAGCAGCCCCCTCCTTTAGCTCTGCAGATTGAGTTAATGGATAGTATAAAATATAGAATCATGACACTTACTTAGGAATCAGTTCTACCAGAGTTCCAAGGCAGCCCACCAAATTTATTTTCCATAGGCGCTTCAAACATTGTTCTACCTAGGAAAAAAGAAAACTCTTTTGACTGGTATTTTGAGAGACTAGCAGTGCCTTGGTCTAAGAACCATCACTATGTTAAACGACACATTCCCTTTACCAGTTTAGCAGCACAAACAGCAGGTTTGTGTTATGAAATGTTCTGGGATATTCCTATATCTGCCCTTCATCACTCTACTGTAAAAATGGAATTAAGAGAAGGACTGCAGTAGGTCATGGTTAATTGGTGCTGCATGGTTTCCCCTGCTGTATACAATTACCTTCGGTATTGGCTGTCAAGAACGAAAACACATGATCAAATCAAGAAGGTAAGCACCATTCCTGTTCTGTTTCAAAACAGTTATTTGAAGGTACTGACAATCCCTTTCCTGGAAAATCGGTAAGAAGTTTACTTTTCATGCTAAACCAGAAAGTACCTAATAGAGCAGCTTAGGACTATTCTTCCCCCCCTCCCACTATTACAATTAACTGAGAACAAAGCCTCTGTATTACTCCTGCATTCAAAGGTATGTAGCTGTAGCTCCTTCAGGTCTCAGCGTGAGCACAAGACACCACGTATTCGTGGAAAAGTGGAAATGGCACCGGCTGCACAGAGCGGTCGCTCACCTGCTGCAGGGCGAGGTAGGGGCGGTGCCGGAGCAGCCTGCTGTGGAACGCGTAGAGCAGGGCGCGCACGACGCGTCCCTCGGCGGCCAGGCCGGGCCCCGACAGCCGCCTCCCGGCCGTGTCGCACCGCCGCCGCAGCACCGACAGCCGTCCCACTGCGGGGGGGAGCCGGACACGGCCTCAGCGCCCGCCGTCACCCCGGCCCCCCGCGCCCCCGGCCCCCACCGCCCGCCCGCCCGCCCGCAAGCGCACGGCAGTGCCTTCAAACGCCCCCCAGCCCCTCTCGGCACAGCGCCGGGACCTGCGGGGTGTTCGGCCGCCAGCGCCACCGTGGCGCTGCTCGTGGGCCAGGGCACGTCCAGCCGGTTCCACGGCGCGTCCAGCCCGCTGCACGGCACATCCCGCCGGTCCCACGGCACAGCCCACGCCGCCCTGGGCGCCGCCATGTTCCCGCCGCGCACGGCCTGGGCGGGACCATCCCGGCCGGGCCGGGGGAGGGCCGCGGGCTGGACCAAGTCACGCCGCAGGGGCGAGGCAGAGCCCGGGGCCTGGCGGTGGTGCGCTGCGTTCCCAAATGTCGTAAGCGAGAAGAGGAATAAATGTAAATTATGAGTGTTACTCACACTTTCCAAACCTCGCAATTCTTCAGTGTCAGCCTCGGGAGCGGGGGCTGTTGGTAGCCAGCGCAGCAGCCGCTGAGCTCCTCCGTGATGCGTTGCCCGAGAGCCCAGGGGTGACCCCAGTCACGGGCCCTGCAACTGCGCCCTCCCATGTGACACACACACCCCTTAAAGTGCAAAAAAATCTGGGAGATCGGCTTCACACCAGTAGCAATTCCTATCCGGATGAGAGGACATAGTCTTAAGCTGTGTCAGGGAAGTTTAGGTTGGACATAATGAGGAATTTTTTCACAAAAAGGCTGATTAGACATTGGAATGGGCTGCCCAGGGAGGCGGCGGAGTCACAGTCCCTGGAGGTGTTTAAGGAAAGACTGGACATGGCACTTAGTGCCACAGTCTGGTAGACTTGGTGGTGGTCAGTCAAAGGTTGGACTTGATGATCTCAGAGGTCTTTTCCAACCCAACTGATTGTGTGATTCTTGATATCAACACTCTGAACAAGGACAGGCCTTGCTGCCCATACCCCAGGTGCCCACCTGGCCATCCTGGTCCCTGCATGCATTTGTCCCAGCTCCTGGGATTTGCCATGGCAGGGACAAAGGGCCAAGGCCAGGCAGAAGTGGGGCCTGTGGTGAATGCAGGTGTCCCATGGAATTGATTGCTGTCATTTATTAGTGTTGTTAAAATAGTTTCCTACCAAATGGATTGAATTTTTGTGGTCTTCAATGAGTTCTCCTCCCCCAAGTATAAGACATTGTTTCCTGCCTCTTTCCCTTTCTGCCTGTAGTTGAAATTTCCTAACTGCTAACACTGGTATTCCAATTAAAATATTTGTTGGGAACAATGGAGCTAAATTGGGCACAACTTTTTGTATAGTCTTATCTTCTCTTGATTCCATTTTGTTGTATATTTTCTATTTTCTTTTAAGGAATCTTGTACAAATACAGATTAAAGTGATGTCCTTTTAAAAAGATAGAGCAAAGATTGGCATTAATGGTTGCACCTGTAGGGAAGAGAGATAAGAGCAAACCAAGAGGCAGAACTGACAAAAGGCTGTTGTGAGCACTTGCCTGGCCTGAGGAGTGTTAAGCTTCCTAGACTAAGAGTGAATGTGAAAGTAAAAATGGAATCTCTGAAGTGTGAGCAGAGGATCACAAAGGTCTCTCTAGCTGAGCTTCTGAGGTGTTTTGAACATCCTATAAGTGAAGAGCAAGCCTGGGCTATCTGCTTTCAGTGTTGCTGTAAAATGGAGCAGTTGGCTCAAGAGCTGTGCCCATCACTCCATTCTGTATTCATAAAAGGTTGTGGGAGTGTCTTGATCCATGCTGATGGTACTGCTTCCTTCAAGGTCTACCACAAGTCTGGTAAGAACATAGGTGCCAAGGGTTGTTCCTTTAACAGGCTGAAATGGGACAAAGTAGGGAAATTTTCTTTTCCTCTGCTTTTTTTGTTGGTTTTGTTTGGGTTTTTTTTCCCCTCTCCTCTGTCTGTATATTGTCATGAAGCTATTCTCCTGCCTATACTTTATTTCAGAGGACTGTAGATGAATGGTAATACAGATATATTACCTACTAATTTCTCTAGTCATGCTCTATCGAGTCATTTGGTTCCAGGAAATAGCTGGGATAAAAGCTTTTCACCACTTACTTTATTTGAAATAAATAATCTAAAGCTTCATTATATGTCCTGCTCTGTTCATCTTCCAACCTTCATCTTCTTACCTTTGTTATGGTAACTTTCACAGTGGATTTATGATTGCAGTTTCCCTCTTTCTGTCACTGTGTGTAGCCAGCAAGTGGCAACAAGTCTGTGTTATGTACGGCTTGGTGGGGCTGCTGCAGAGGTCAGTGCTAGGCTAACTCTTCAGGGATTAGAGGGAGTCATTAACAATAAAGACAAAGATCCCATGCCTTCCTTATGGTTAGATATCAATTAGCAGACAACAACAACAACAAAGGGAAAACCCCCGCAGCAGCCATTAGTTTGGGGCTAATGGTTACAATAAGAAGAGCATCCCATGTTGCTTTCTAGCAACATAGGATTTCCCCAAATATAGACCTACTTTCCCCAGGTGGGACTGACTTTAGTCAGAGGAGTTAGTTTCCTTATTATCAAGAATTCTTCCTGTTTCCCTCTCTTGAAAGGGGTTCTAAATGCCTAAGCAGTTTTCTTTCTCCCCCATCCCTCTTTTTTCCCTTTCAGATATTGGCAGCATTCAGCATTCAGAGGACAAGGTAAGCTTGTATCTTTACCTTCATTATGTGTGCATAGAATCCTGCTATAGTAAAGGCCAGCTCAGGAGATATAGATGTCTTTGGAAACTATCAAGGTGCTTAAATTTGCTGTGCCCTGTGAGTATTTCCCCTACAACCTGGGAAAGAAAACAAAATGCCCAGACTGAACTCAAGGAAAGCAATGGGACTGGGAAACAATGTGCACAGATGCTGTCTACTGTGCCCAGAGTCTTGTTGTCTTAATAATGATAACTTAGGGGTGCTAGTTCAGGCCATATAAAATCTTAAAACAACTTAAATGGGGAGTATCTCTCATCCTCAGAGATGTGCTCAGCCCTCAGGGGCAGATGAGGGTACATGCATGGCTAGGAATTGAGAGCTGTGACATTCTCCAGTTTGTGCTGCATTGCTTCCTTGGTCTGTGTCTGCAGCTGTTGGAATACTTGGGAGTGGTGATCTATGAAGCCCTGGACTGGGGAATTGACAGCCAACTGGAGCGACAACTGAGTGGTCCTTTGGAGAAATTGCTGTGCCTCATGTTGAAACTGGATGATGAGCCAATGAAACCAGAAGTCACCCTGCAGGATGTTATCAAGGTTTCCTTATTCCCACTTAGTAAATGTAGCAACTTTAGAGGAGTTGATGGAACGGTGCAGTTAACCAAGGGGCAAGACCATTTCTGGGTAAAAGCTGGGTAGATTGTTGGAGAACATAGAGGGAGCATGTGGCTTTCCCATCAGAGGGAAAAGGCAATACCATCTTAGGTACTTGCAGGTGCCCATGGAAAAGAATTAAGAAGGAACACTACACATGGCTCTCACACAGCTGTGTCTACAAAGTCCTTCTGTACATAGTCTCCAAATTCAATACCCAGACGACTGGATATTGAAAAAAAAGTCACTTGTCTGTACTATTCAGTTTTTGCAAAGGCTGGGATTTCAATGTCTCAACTCAAACAGGTATTTGCCCCTCAAACAGAATTTAAAGGTATGAGAAACTTCTCATCCCTCTGTCTGATCTGGGCAGGGGAAAAGAACAGGGTAAGTGACTCCACCTGCTGTGGGTTTTTGTGCTTTGTCGGCACTGCAGGCTTCCCCTTTCAGATACTTATTTCAAAGCACACTGTGGAAGACAATATAAATAAATTATGCAGTTACTTACATTATCATACATATAAGATTGGACATTTTGCTTCTTTGTTCCTCTGTATCTGCAATAGAAAAATAATATAAAGGGGCCATGAGGAAGATGATTTTTAACCATGGATCAAGGAAACTGAATCTTGCTTTATTCCATCCTCCCATGGTGGTTTTTTTTCATTTCAAGATCTCTTTTAAATAGCTGCAATTCTTTCAGGCCTGTGAGGAGCACTTGCCCAGGCCTTCTGAGGCTGCCAGACATTATGAAATGACCTGTAGGAATCTGTTTGCTGAATATATGGAACTTCAAAAGCTTGTGACCATCATCCAAACCTCCAAAGAGGTACATTTGGGATCACCCCTTAGCTGCTATTCCCTCCACCTTCACAGACCCACCAGGTTCTAAAGTAACCTTCCCATTGCACTGAAAGTGGAGGATGTAGATGAAGGTCTGTTTTCACAATGGGAATGGCTTCTGTCTCTGCACCTTTTTTACTTATTATAGCATTTAAAAGTTTAGGTGTTTGGGGTTTGTAGGCTTTTCAGATAAACATTAGTAATTTATATTGGATAGATACTGAACAGTGCAATGACCTCATGTGCTTGCTTCTCAGCGACTGAGAAAAATGGATGTGGAAGATTTGGTGGAAAATCCCATTCAAAAGAAGAAAAACTGTGATGTAAGGGATTTAATTTCTTCATTATGGACATGGTTTTTTTTCTTCAGCCTTAGCTCTCTGAGGCTTCCCACTGATTCTTCTATGAAAAGTAGAGGTTGAACATATTAAACCGCTTAGGTTTTTTCAGGAGCTTAAGTAGTTAACGACTTGTCTGCAAAACAAGCTGGGGAGTGAACTTGAAGTTAAACTATTTCATATGTCAACCTCACGTGGACATTTATTCTACATAAATATTGTCTTTGTGGTCCAACTTAAACCACTTCTAAAAATGAAGTTAGAGGCAGTCTTTGGAGTAAGTGTCCACAAGCAATTACTCAGGCTGTTTCTTTCTGCAGCTGAGCCCCAAACTTCAGCTCTTGGTGGGAACTGACACCTGCCAAAAGCAATCTGTTCCTTTCTTGTAGCTGGACTGAAAAATCCCAGAAAACTGTTCTGTTATTGGTAGTACTGGGATGGACTATTTCACTTTTACTTTGTGGGGTCTATGTTGGTTCAGGACTAGCAGGGACTGAAGGCCAGTAGCGCTGTCCATCTTTGTGGCAGCTCCAGCAGCTCAAAGGGGTGAAGGGGGATGAGGCTGGAGATGTCACTTATAGATTGGGCTCACTGCCTTTCTTGTCTTTGCATTCTGTCCTTCCATAGATCTTGGACTGTATGTTTGGGGCAGAGAAAGCAACTTACTCTGTTCTTTTCAAGACCCTGCAAAGTCAGAGCTCAATCAGAAACAAACAGCTCTTCCTTCAGGCTGGAGCTCTGCCCAGCATAAACAAATGCACTGTAGTCTGGAGTCTGTGGAGGCAAACAGCAAGCCCCAAGAGACTTGTGGACTCGCTCCCTTTGTCTAAATAGCACTTGCTTTGAAGCATGCTCAAACTATTCGTATGAAAATGTTTGTGAAATGTGTGTTTGGGCATATTCTCAATTTTGTGATCTATTAAAATAAACTGGCAAGCTATCTCAAACCACAAACTCATCAACTGCTATAGCTCTTTTCTGCAGGGAATACATGAATAAATACAAGGGCTTTGCTGTGTGGCCTGAAGGCCAGTGTATTTGGCCTCTGCTCCTTCAGGAGACATGAATTCCGAAAGCTGGATGCCTGTTGCAAATCCTCTGCCTCTAGTTTCCAAGTCCCTAAGCACCAGTTGATTGCATCGCTCTGAAAAACTCTTGAGTTTAAAATAACCAGGGTGCTAACTTCACTGGGATCCCACAGATCAGAGCTGATGCCTTGAGTGGTGCTAAGAAGCTAATGCTCTCTATGGGCCACACTTTTTTTGTTGACTGCTACAAAACAGGTCTTCTGAAATGCAGAGCACAGCCTGACAGCATGCAGGGTTGTACAGTTTCAGCAGAGCTTATCTGTACACGTTACAAGTTGATATTCACCTTGAAATCTAAGCAGATGAGACCTGTTAGAAACACAGCTGTCTTACTGCTCATCTGTTGAACTTAATGCAATGGATTTACGGTGTTGTAGCATTTTCGTGTTGTATTGCACAGGTGTGGGAAGTTTAGGTGGTATTTAACACTACATGGGATGGCCCAAGTAGAATAATTGCAATGATCCAGTCAGTAGGGAAAGAAATGTATGAGTGATGATGATGTCACCAACATCTGAAAAATGTTTTGGGTGTGCAAGTTGCTCTGAAATGGACAGTTGAAGACAATTCTTGTCCCAAAACTAATGTGGCAATATTACAGTACAGAAATCTCTCTTCAGGTCATGTTTTTCAGTCAAGTGCTATAACCATGTGAAATACAACTCTATAAAGTGCAAACATCTTGATGCTATTTCAAAAGTAAAAAAAAAAAAAGGGCTATTTCAAAAGTCTCTAGTACTGATGGGTTTGCCCGGAGACTTTTGCGTGTTCTCCCACACAGTATTAAATATAGCCTAGGAGGTATGGCTTGTATGCGGCCACTCTTTGATAATTCTAGTTCTCTGGAGTTGAGGTATGACTGTACCAAAGCCAGGCTAAAACAATACAACAAAAAATCTCTCTCCTTGAAGGCAGCCATCAGTCAGAGCTTGTATAAGACTCTTCTGATATTACACCAAGATATCTGAAGGGATAAGTTGAGAGAAGATGCTGTAAGTGGAAAAGGGAGAGGAGTCTAAGTCAGAAACTTTGTTTTGAGGCAGTTTTCTGAAATGTTTTGCTTCCCTTTCACTGTTTATAATACAATCACTTGCTCTTACTTAATTTGCCATTGGGATCCAGATAAGCTGTTGATTTAGCACTTCCATTACAATGTTGTCTAAACGTGCTATTGAGTTGATTATTTTTTATCCTGTTTTTGTTGGGTTATACTGCATGCCTGAGCATCCTGAGATACTAAAGCAGGAAGAGGATGAGCAGATGTCAGTTTTTAGCTTGTGTCTGCAGGCTGAGACTGATAATGTATGCTTCTGTGAAGTATGAGATCCCTTCCCACTTGTCTTCCTCTTTTGTTTGTGGACACTTCAACCCTTGTTTTCTGAAAATTTAGAGGATTTTAATGGTGAGATTTGGGATTTCATTCCCAATGTTTCCTAGGATTCAATAATGTGAAAACACTGGTACCTGCAGTGCCAGTGCTTGCAGAAAGAAAATGTGTCTTGCTACCTGGCAGCAAAAGCTGTGTTTTGCTGAAGTACATTCATAAAGTTAATGACAAAATTTGGGAATGAGCCTGGTGAGCCAGCTCCTAGTTTCCTCATTGTAAATTATTCTCTGCAAAGAGAAGCAATTCTCTGCTCTGGTACTGTACCCTGCTCTGAAACTGAGTAGAAGTGGGTATTAAGGACACAACTGTGTGTTTCTGAATAACTTCAGTTTCTACGTGTGCCCTGTTACGTGGAGGGAGGGGATGCTGCTCAGTGTGTTCTAGCCAGCTATTGACTTGGCCCTTCCTGGTTTCTCCGAGGCATCCCTGTGGCCCAGTGTCATCAGAGAACTGCAGGCTGGCGTGAGGCTGCGCAAGGCCAGTGAGCGACCACAGCGCTGTGTGCCTCCAAAAGAACGGATCCGCTCTCCCTTTGAATTGCTTTTGGATGATATTCAGCACAAGAGATACACCCTACGGAAGGTGAGTGACTTGGAAAACATCTGCTCTACTTCATGTCCAAGCAGTATGTGTTGAGACGTCTTCTCCAAAAGCTTGTCTTTCTCAAGGGCACTTCGAAGTCCAGAAGTGTCTGGGTATCCCTCTCAGTTGCAACTCAACATTAGATCACCCTATTTTTCTACCCAAGTGCTTCATTTCCAGTAACTTTTAAGTCAGCAGTAGTCACAGTTTCATGAAGCTGAATAGTAAACCTCTTCTCCCTCCAGGGGTCAGCCACTCCTTTCCCTGGAGCAGTTATGCTGCCCTGCACACAACAGTTTCATGGAACAGACTCTTGCCTGCTTGTGCTTTCCACCTTGGACACTTATGTCCTCCCAGGCTCCTTAAGCTGAGCTATGCTTGGCAGCATCTCTTACTAGTTTCCTTGCCTTCCCAGATGCCCCAGATGTTCTGGGTGTATGCAAAAGCAGTTTTGAGACAATCCTTTGCTCAGTCTCAGGCAGAGGCCTCTAGGCAGTGTACTTGAGCTACTGCAGGAGTTTAGTCAGGGTAAAAAAAGTTAAGGCCCTCCCAGGGGCAGCTGCTGTTCTGACTCAAGTGGCAGTGACTTCCAATTTCACCACTTGGTTGGTGAAGATGACCAGATACAAGAATGTCTGGGGTGTCTCTAAAGGCTTGAGATACTCTTTGCTTGCTGCAGCTTGATCTGGGAATGATGAGCAGATCTAAAACATTGGCATAAGGCTTTGTGGCATTGGCATGCTTTGCAAACAGACGTCTTGGCAGAAGATGAGACACAACTCTTCTTGTAATAAAAACCAGTATTACAAAAAGTGAAAACTTTGCCTACCACACTAGACATCAGCTTTTTTTCCTCTTTGTTGGTGCTGCTGGAGTGCAGCAGGTTTATAAGCTTCAGCTAAACCATGCACCTCCATAAAGCCCCAGCTCTTGCTTGGCTTGACTGTGGTTCCAGCCTCCCGGTAAGGCTATGTCATTTCTTTGGAGATAATATCTTTATTGATGTATAAATGAATAGTGGTGTAAAGGAGACAGTGCATCATAACTATTTGTGTTCCTCGCAATGTACTGTATATCAGTGCACTGTGCAGTACAGAACCATAACTCAAGGTGGCAGGATGATCTGGGACTTGATTTTCTCTTTTTTTTCTTCTTTTAAAAAAACAAAACAAAAAACAACAACCCCCCCCCACTTTTCTTTTTGAGGAGAAGCACAAACATGTTTGAAGAGTAGTAGACAGAAATGCTCAAAGAAAGCAGAGTGCACAGGTCTTTGTGAAGGCTCTTAAACTAGGATTTCCCCATCTGCAAAGCTATTTTAAAGCTTCTCTAGCAAACAGTGGTCTAATTTGCAAATGAATGAAAGCACAGCTAGTGTGGGAAGCTGTAGTGTTGTTCTACCTGCACTCCCACATGTTCTGAAGTTGTACACACAGGCACCATAACCTCAAAATAAGAATACGTGAACAAGGCAGCTAAAGACATGCATGTACAATTGACTTTTTTGTCAGTTGTCCCCTATGCAGCTAGCACAGGGCTTGATGCCTCACATGAATATGTGCCCTGCAATTCTATCTTGCTATTGTTCCTAGTTTATGTAGGGCTGTAAGCCAGTCTCTGAGACTCTAGCTTATGCATACAGCTGCCTGCTGCTGCAGTTTTTGTTGCAGTTCTGTTAACCTGTTCAATTGCTCTCCTCCCTGGAGCTGAGTTCTCGCTGTTGAAGAGGATGTGACGATGGTGCTTATCAGGATCACTCCTGACGTCAAAATCTGAGTACAGTGTTTTCCAGCAGCTTCATGAGCAGTTCATGAGCTGCTAGGGCTGGAAACCTCTAAGGACTGTGCAGCACTTCTGATTGCCTCTAGCTTGCCAGGAAGGAACTATTGTAGAAAAAGAACTATTTATTAAGCATCGTTTTTCCTCTTTCAGGTGATTGTTGAGCAAAAACACAAGGACCCCGAAGTTGATGTAGCTGCTCCCAAGCCTCCTCTAAAGCTGGTAGGTGACCTGGTGCTGCATGTGATGATAGCAAAAAAAGGTAATTCTGGAGTGACAGAACAGCTTCAAGGAACATAGAGGTAATGCCTTAGCTACTGGTTTGTGTTTGGGAGGGGGATATATTAACTTCTTGAGCAGATCCTCCTGCCAAAACCGGGGCCTAGGAAAATGGGAGTTGACATCTTCATAGGAGAAAGATGATCAGTCTCCCTACTTCTTCCACTGCTTCTTTCATTTGGAATATTTTGTGGTCCTGAAAGAACTTCTGAAGTTCTCAATTTCAAATTTGAGAGTCACCAAAGTATTCTACTATGCCCAGTGCTGGAGGGTGTCTCATGTGCAGGGCCCAGTGCCCTCTTGAGTGACAGGCACTTGTAAAACAGTGCCATTGCTGATGGATTTTTCTGTCACCACTGGTCTCCTTGCTCTATCCACTGGCTCTTTGTGGTGCTGTGCTTTGCCTGCAGGTGTTGGAGAGGCAGCTGAAAGAGTGTGTGCCATGTGAGACCAGCTGGCATGAACGGTCCATGGTAGAAATAAAACAACCACAGAAGCTTCAGTCAGCAGCAGCACAGGAAAAAGGGAGCAGGCCCAAAGGTACCTGCTCCAAAATAGTGGCTGGCCTTTGAAATGAAAGCCCATTTATTTTTTCAATAACATTTATAATGCAAAGGGGGTGGCAATGCAAATTTTGTGTTAGAGGTGGTTTGGCATAAGAATAGTTATTTCTAGAAAATCTGTCTGTGGCTTATTAAGACTCAAAAGATGGTTCAACTTACCCATTTTTTTATGGATGTTCAAAATTGTCCACTAAGTGAGAGGGCAGAATTTTGACCATCACCTAACACTAAAAGTTTATGTAACCATCATGACAAAGTCTGGCCTAATCTCAAATTCTGATCTGTAGGTATCAAATTTGTAATTTTCTTGTCCCAGCACAATATCTCATTTAGTCTGTGCGTATGGGGGTTTTTGTTCTCCCTCTCCCCTGCAGAAATGCTTTTGACACCAAATACAGCCTTGAACTCTCCAAGTGACAGTTTTTTAACTCTCCAAGATGCCAGTACTGAGTTTAAAGTTGTCAACACTAAAACACAGCAGCTGGGACCAGGAGTTCAGGTAAGGCTTTAAGTGAAAGGACTATGGGGAGGCATTAGAGCTGCAAATACACACATAGCCTGGAAGGTCAGGTACAAATCCTAGTGTAGGAAATCTTGTCTCAAAAGTGAACAAATGTGGTACTGTTGGGTTCACTGAAGTTCTTTTCTCTACAGAAGCACATATCATATTCAGACAGTTCTGTTTGTGGCATGACTACAGCCTATTAGGTACAGCGTATACAATCCCTTCTCTCTGACCAGTGCTAGGACCTGAGGAACTGGCCTGAAGCTGTGTCAGTGGAGGTTTAGGTTAGATAATAGGAAAATGTCTTTCACCCAGAGGGTGGTTGGTCACTGGAACAGGCTCCCCAGAGAAGTGGTCACAGCACCAAGCCTGACAGAGTTCAAGAAGTGTTTGGACAAGAGTGTGATTCTTGGGATGGTCCTGTGCTGGTCTAAGAGTTGGACTTTTCTTGTGGGTACCTTTCAGCTCAGGATAGTCTATGATTTTATAGAACCAAGGCCTGCTCTGGTCTCTTAAAACTAGACCCTGCAGAAGTTTTAATATGCATGGGAGTCTGACCAATCTTACAGTGAGGCATTTGATGCTAGGGGTATTGATGTATTTTGGTTTCACATGGTATGTGAGCTCATGGAAAGAAAAACTTAATTACTTATTTTTAAGAAGCAACTTGATTGGTAAATTCCCACTCTTCTGTCTATGGAGTTATTTTGGGAGCACCACTCCTCAATAAACCACGATGTCTTTGGGTTCTTTTACTCCTGGCACGATCATGAAAAGCTTGACTTACTTGGTTCTGGGATTCAGTCTGAGCATATTCAGAAATTCTGTGGAACAGAATTTAAGCCCTAAAACATCATGTCTAGCACAGATGCTCTGGCATACAAACAGGAATCTGTTTTCTGTAAATATTTCTGTCTGAAATGCAGTTGCTTAACTGAGGAAAGCGGATATGAATTAATAAAAGCAGAAAATCTCAGCTATATTTGCCCCCATCTGTGCTACTTGGAGGAATGTTCAGCATTCGAGAACCCTGTAGTTGATGTATTACTGCTAAACTAGAAGGACCTTCATATGGAGACTAATATAATCAAATTTGTTTTCTGCATTTCTAGAGAAGGTAGAAACAATGCTGTTGAGATACAGCACTGGGTTTGAGTTGGGTTAGCGAGTTGGGTTGGTCATAGTCTCTTGAACTGTTCTCCAATGTTGCTGTGTGTCAACTGGAGCCAAGAATATGGTTCCAATGTACTCCATGGGTTGCTTAGGGAAGATTTTGCAAAGTTGGTTCCTGAACAGATGAAACTTTCGTATTAGTATCCACATTGAACTTGGGAGAGAGAGAGCAGATGAATTGGAAATTTCACGAACTTGGCTGGAGCTTCCTGGTTGTGGAGTGCAGAGGAGGGTTAACTTTATGTTCCAAGAAGTAATAGAAAGTTCCTAAATGTACTCCGTTGATTTCTTTCTTTGCTTCACTTTTGAGTGAGCCTGAACATTTCTGGTCAGTCCTGGGTATCCCTTTTTTTTTAGCAGCAGTACTTCTGCTGAAGTGGGTTTAGTGTCTCGCTTGCAGCTTATGAACATCCTGTCCTCTGATCTACAGGAAACCACTCTCAAGCTGCCTGACAGCACCTGCCTTTCCTCCAGCAGGTCATCGCTAGTATCCTACAACAGCACAGGTCAGTGTACTTCCAGCTGCATGTCCAAACCAGGTGACAAAGTACAGTCAGTGGCCTACTGGGTTCCCAAAGCCTTAGATTGGGCTCACTGTACACTTTCTTTTCACTCTGATCACTTGGAGTTACTTTACAAGAAGAGCTCTAACACTAAGTAATGAGTCTGGGGAGGTGCCCTTAGAAAACCATTTCTCTGCAGTTGACTAAAGCCTGTGTAGTTCCTGCAGCTTCAAAACAATGATACCATGTCCCCAAAGGCCTAACTGGAATTTGCAGTAAAAGCTAAATGAATGTTTTGAATATTCAAGTAGAAAGAGCACCACTTGATTTCATTAAACTAAGTGGTGCTAATGAAGCCTCATCACTGCCTACTGACAAGCATAATTACTGTAACCTCTGCTTTTTGTGATCTGAGCAGATGGGGTGGAGGAGGAGAGACATAAGCCTTGCAACCTTCAGAGGACAGTGTAGTGCTCTTGAGTGTTTTTTGGGGTGAATACTTAAAAGCTGCCAGTTAGTTTTCTGCACCCTAAAACTCTCTCTTCCTATCCAGGTCTCACTGCAAATTCCCTGTGTCCCCCATGTCCACCCACACTAGGAGACATTAAACCCAAGAGTTTCCTGAATACTGGCCAACAGCAACTGCCTCCTTACAGAAGAAGGTCCAAATCTTTAGAGACAGGCCTTCAAAGCAAGAAACTTGTAAGTCCAACATGTCAGCAAGCAGCCCTGGTCTAATAGATCTTGTAATGACTAGAGCTTGCACCTTGATCCTCATGTAAGCACTAAGCATGCTCTGTGGTTTTTATCTTGGGACATATTGTATACTGATCTGAAGTTGGTATATTATTCTCTCACTGGAGACAGCTTAAGAGAGGACTGGATGCTGCAGTGTCCTTGCAGTGCCTTCCCAGTTTGAATGATATGAAATAGTTGTTTCTCATACAAGAAGAAAAAAATACCTCTGTATTACTTGAAAATGTCCATCAAGACTTCCTCAAGCAGACTGTAGTTGACAGTAGGACTGTCCTGCTTTCTCCATCTCCCCTCATTCTTTCTAGATTCTAATATGTTCACAAGTGTCCCTTAAGCTGCAGTAAAGGGAACAAGCAGTTGACAAACTGTAGATAGCACAGCATTGGTGACTTCTAAATATATCATGTATGCAGTACTGAAGTCATCAGGCTCTGCATGATGGTAGTGAGAGAAATGCTGGGGTTTGTGTGCTTCTGTGCAACTTTCTGAATTATGACCTTGCCCTGTTCTGCCCTGACAAGGTGTGCTGTGCCCTTGCTTCCTTCTTTCCTTCTGCATCTCTCTCTGCCTGACCTTGGCAAGTCTCTAAATTGACCTGAGGACTCTGAGACCTCTTTGTTCAGCAGTGGGCTGGGGGATGCAGGTAGGTTGGGTTCCCCAGGTCTCTCCTGGTAGACCACCAAGCTATAGTTGCCATGTGTGTGGGGCCAGTGATTCCTGGGAAAGAGAAGGCAAGACAGTGCTGTGCTGTGGAAAGGGATCTTGTACTCAGGAGGGGCCAGGGTGGCATCTGTTCTGTGGTCTGTTCCAAAGGGTAAAATTCCCAGAAGACTGGCTCTGGAGATGGTATTAGCTGCTGTGGTGACCAATGGATCTGCTTCCTTTATGAGGTGTCAGGAACCTGCTTGAAAACTGTAGCAATCACTAAACCCCCTGTAGTATTTTCTCTGCTAGCATCATCAAACAGTCAACCGATATTCCCCATCACAGGCAAAACTGGGTTTTGGAGACAAATGCTCCTCAGCCTTTGGGACCCAGTTTTGAGGATAACCTCCCCAGATAGCTGCTTTCTTCAGCCTTCTCCAATGCTTAACTTCTGCCTTTCAACAGGACTGTCTCTTTCCTACCAAGTGGCCATCACCAACCATTGCTGAGCTGATTGGAACCAGATATTCAGAGATGGTGCTGAAAGACTTCTTCCAAAGAGGTGGTGATGGTGTCTTTCTAAGAGCAAAGGTATGTTTCCTCTTCTTGTCTTTGTGCTATCCTTCGTTTTTCAAAAGCTGTCTGGTTTCATGACCCTCAGTGCCGAACTGCTGAGGTGCCCTTTGCCTCAACTTATCCTGTTCATAACAGCTGATCCGAGTTTGGCCCTAGGCTGGAAACAGTTTTTAGTACTTGTGCAGTGATGGCTTTTAATCCAGTTTAAACTCTGTAAATTACTTAGAAAGTAACCCAACCTTTGCTTTTTACTTCTTGTCTGTGATTTCCATGCTAGGAGAGCTGACTGCTGTGACTGTGGGTGAGTTCTGAAATCCTGAAGTAAATAGTTGGGATTTGGTACTGCTAAAGAGTGAAACTGAGGCTCCCATACCCGAGTTGACCTAACTCAAACCACCTTGCTGAGCGGACACAAAGGTCGGGGAGATGAGAGGGACAGAGAATGACCTGCAGCACAGGACTGTTGGCTGTTCACATTTCTTGACTACTGCCTTACTCACTGAGTCTCCTTTAGAGGGGGTGTTGCAGCCAGCCCCTTCAGAACAGATGTCCTGAGTACAAGCCCTTTGCAACACAGATGTGAGGAAGTCTGTGCTACTGGGCTTATGGGTCAGCTTCTTGCCCTCATTTATTTAGCAGTACAGACAGAGTCAAAGGGTTCTAATAGCAAAGCTATGCTACTTCCACAGTCTGTCTGATGCTCCTGAGACTGAATTCTTGTTTTTATCTCACCTTACCGACCTTGCTTTAACTTGCCTGTTCTATGCCTATTCAAAAATGGCTCTTATCCCCTTTGTGTTCTTGCTGCTGAAGTTTTTTTAGCTTTCTCAAGCTCTACTTCTCAAGATAATATCACTTCTGACTGCCAGCTGTGTATGAATGTGCTCTTTCTTATAAAGTTCAAGCGACTCATCAGCTTCCTTATGACTCATTTTTTGCTTCAGGATTGAATTCAAATTTGCCCTGATTTAATCTCTTTGGGATTGCTGCAGTCTACCTCAAAGAATGTCTCTCTTCTTCCCTCTCTCTTAACTAGCTACTGTTACACTCTTACACAATACAGCTATTGTTTGCTCCAGAGCCTTTTTTTAAACTCCTGTTGTCTGGCAGCTGCCCCAAACCTCTGCATCATAAAAACACTGGCCTACAAGTAAGAATTTTTTTTGCCTTTTTAGCTTTTAATTCCTGTGTCTTTGCTATCCTTTATTTGACCTCTGTTATTGTATATGGATCTAAAGCCTTTAGAAGGTTGGTTTATATGCTTGCTCTTTGACAGGCAGTGGATACTGTTGGTACAAAGATATTTCCCTTTTGCATTCACAAATAACTTTCCTTTCCACAGATCTGTTTCAGCTGCCATAAGCAGATGTTTCTTAAGTGGCCTTACAACTGTTACCTCTGCAGCAGGTGAGCTGGTACAAAAGGGGTGAATGAGGAGGGAGAAAAGAGTGAAAGAATAGTGCTGAAAATACCCAGTATTCAAAGACTTGTAGTACTGGATAGGAACAGGTTGCTGAGCCCTTCAGTTTTGTCTTACTGCACAAGCCAGGCTGAAGTGTCTACAGCTGCAGAGGGTGTGGAAAAGTTTGTCTCTGAAGTGGTATCTCAGTTTTAATTCTTAGTATTAAGCTAGCAATAACCAAATTTACTGTGCCAGTATTAAATTCAATTTCTCTGAGATCACTCTGAATTTTGCTCTAAAGATTGGATTTAACTTCAGACAAGGGCTTGAAGAGGTTCTGGGAGAGGGTCTTCACCAGAATCTTCTGTTGAGGACTGAAAAGAACTCCAGACCTTGTGACTGGGGAAGGAGTTGGACCTACTTGTATCCACTTAGTTGTCAGAAACTTTCTGTTCATGGAAGAGGGAGAGAGATACTTCAGGCTCATTAAGGCTCACTTAAATCTATTTGAAGCAGTGGTAAAGCACTGAATTGATTACAAGCAGCAAGTAAACAACCACTGGAAATTGAGCAACTGTCTGGTGGTAGTGCTGGGTGAATTTTAATGAGGATTTGCAGAGAAAGCCTTGAAGCTATGGATGCTGACACATTTCAGATGAATTAAACAACCATAAATAGGAGAGCTGGCAAACTGAATGGGGGAGTTCTAAGCTTTCTTACTTTGCCATCAAGCAATTCTGCCACAATCACAAGTTCTGACTTACTTGGGAAAGTCACCTTTAGCTGCCATATTAGTATCTGCTGAGCTTTACTCAAATGATAATGCTGGGAACTTTTTCTTTCAGTGTTGTCTGCTGTGACTGCTGCATCAAGGCAAGTCTAGTCTGTACAACAGCATATGAGTTTTTTACATTTTCTGTTTTCCCAATGCCTCACCTAGTCATAGGAAGCTTTCCTTCATCCCACTGATACCTCAAATCTACCCTCTACCTTGTTTCTAAGAAAACAGAAGAGGGAATATTATGAGGTGCAAAAGCAGCAAGGGTGCTGCAGACATCTCTTGTCATACTCAGCTAAAACAACTCTGGTTCCTCTTTCATCCTGTGTAAAGTGGTTGGGATTACACTGTGATCTATTTATACAAGGGTCAGAAAGTTCACTGCATTAATGTCTACCTTTTAAGTGCACTAATAAATCAATTGCATGCCATGCAAATTCTCCTGCTAAGCAGGAGGATGTGTTTCCCGGAGAACTCAGGTGACTTGTGTTGTGATTCTAGATGTCGATGCCCTTCCGAACGTGTGTACATCTTCCACTTCACTTCCTAAAACTTTTGAGACTCTCCAGAGAGGACGACCCAGCTACTGAAGAGCAGAAGAGCTCAGAGTTGCTACATGAAATAGAGCATGGGCAGTATTTTGGGTAAGCTGGGACAGGGATGTTCTGGTTTTACCTTGAAAGATGTTACCAGTTACTTATGCAAATCTACAAACATGCAGACAGCAGTATGTAGTAGTAGGTTGGTCAGCTAAATGTTCTGCTGAATGACTGGTTTAGTCCCTGGTCTAACTGGTGTATAGTTCTCTGGAAGTATTGTGGATTTTAGATGACCAAAAGGGAGGATGTGAAGGTGCTCTGAAGTAGATTTTCCTTTCTAACTATTAGGTTTCTGATGTGGATTTAGAAGTGTCCGCATTAGCCCAGACATGGAAAGTCCTTTGCAACAGCTTCAATTGTATAAGAATTTCCAGACTGCGTTACATTCTATCCCCCACAGCTGGAGGTCTGTCACTACAACCCAGGCATAGCCCCTTTATACCTACAAATCAAATATGGCTAATTGTCTTAAGCATAACTGACTGAAGAGCAATGCCATAAATGGTTTCTCATTTTCCCTCCACACATATACAGACACCCTTTCCTTTTTGTCCCCAGAAAATGAACTATTCCAAAGAGAGCTTTTGACAGTTCTGAGTGGAAAAGACAGACCATGTGTGTATAAGTGCAATATCTAAGACTGAAAACACACATTATCTCTTCTCTATGTTCTCATCTTCCCAAAACAGTTAAGTGTTCTACTGGAGGAACTGGTGTCTTTTTTTTTCTTTCTTCTCTGAAACCATTCTTTAATGTAGCCAGAATAAAGTCACAGCAGTTTCTGGTTCAAAGGCTTGTACGTCAGTTGCCAAAAAGCAGGGGTAGTGTTCACTACTGAAGTTAATTGCGTGGGGCAGGCAGTGGTTTGGTCTGTCTTACAATGCAGGTGCTGTAGAAGAGGTCTGAGAGGCTGCATTGCTGTCATACTTCAGGATGGCAAAAAAAAATCCTGCTGCACGAGGATGCAGCCACAACCTTGAATCAGACATAGTCATTAGCCCTTTGACATACTGACGATAAAGTGTCAGTAAATGAAAGTGTTCTGGTGCTTAGTAGCCTTCCTAAGTGGTGCTGATGGCTCTTTTGAACTCATGCAGTTACCTAAATCACTTAGCAGCCTGGGGGGAAGGGTGGAAGAGCACCATGCCCTCTAATAGAAACCTGGGTCAGCTTTCCTGCTTTTGTTTTTCCCTCTCCCTCTCCAGTGTACCCGTTATTTTGGAGCCACGTTGCCTAGCACGGCCTCTGTGCTGTTACACAGGGGCCATGGCAGACTGGCTGACTGCAGACATCTGTACTCGCTGTGAGCAGTACCTGATGAATGCGGCTTCCTGTCAGCAGCAAAGCATCCCTCCCAGAAGAACTTCCTGGGCTTAATCCAAACTGCAATAACTATACCATACATTTCTCCTGTCACTTGTTCTGTACCTGAAATAAATGAAACAGCTTTATGCACCTATTGACATAAAGGCCTGATTAGAAGACCTCCCTGCTAGTCAGTCTAAGCAGGGAGCACAGTTAGTATTTCTGTATTGTGAAGTATTCTAAAGCTTTGTGGGTTTTGGAACTGTTTTGATTCTTTTTATATTTCTTTGAGGAAAATAAATGTTGAAGCACTATCACGTCTCTAGCATTTTCTTCTTTGCACCTGCAGTTGCCATTGTTCCGTGGCACTGTTTGCATTCATTGCTGAGCAGGCTTCACCCAATGTAATGAGTACAGGGAAACTTTTAACCTAAACCCCCATTCCTGAGAGGGTTGGAAAGTGGAGCTCTCAGTTATGTGATCACATCACCATGCATTTTGCAAGTGCTCCTTCCTCATAACTCACTAAACAGCACTTAAAGCTCACTGCTTTGATGCATGTAACACTACAGTGATGGCTGCCAGGCTTTAGGAAGCAGACCTGATTTAGGAAGCTTGATTTGGTTTTTGTCTGTGCACTATCATCCTTTGGCACCAGAGCTTCCTGGTGTGTGTCGCTACTATATCTCAATGCCATCATCACCTGAGGAGCAGATGGTTTTTCTTGAAAGATTCTTCTCTTTGTATTGGCTTTAAGCTTTGCCCTAAGGTGAACTAGACTGTTGCAATGTATATGACAAATAAAGAATGTTTTAGTAGATTTTTTTGTGTGTTAAAACCAGAAATGAGATATTTGATAGTATGTGTATTTCTCCCCAGGAATTGCCTATATGGAAGGGATGTAGGGCCTAAATGGAGTTTGCTTTGATTAGTTTCGCGGTGTTGAAGGATACAATGGACTTGTAGCTGGAATGAGTCATGCTAAAGAAAATAAGGTCTAGGGAGGGCCAGTTCTTCTAGATAAAGTAGAAGGGAAGAAAGACATGTTTAAGCTGAGCCTAACTAAGGTCTGCATCCAAACTGCCAGGAGGGTCAATACCTCCAGCTGACTTGCGCTGGCCTGACTGCTTCCTCCAAACTGCCTGTCTGCAAGCTGATGCCACTTGCAGGTTTGGGCAAGCTCTGCAAGTAAATGAATGTGGGGAAGCTGGAGCTTGTGCTTCCTTTTGGAGCAAGTTCAAGTGCTCCTCTTCCTTCAGTCAATTAGGAGGGATGCAGCCTGCCTGCCCAGGTCCTCTCCTGTATGTACTAATTGCTGGTGCTGCTGGGAGGCACATCCATATCAGGCAGGTGGGCTCCTTGCAGGCTTTAGGGAATGGCAGCCAAGCCACAGGTGCGCTTGCTGGCAAGATGGGCACAGTGTGGGCCCAGGGGCATGAGGTGCTCTTGGACACTTGCTGAGTGGAGTAGTTTAGGTAAAACTAGAAATGAGCTGAGATCAGCCTGTTTTGATTAATGTGTAAGCCCAAAATGCTTCTCAGAGCCTGAGTGCAGCAGCATGGAGAGTAGTCTGTATGGCACTGAGGTAGATATCACTTTATCAGGAGAGCAAACGTAGTTCTACATTCTGTCTCTTGCACATCTGCTGTGGTGTGACATGGGCTTGTTTTATTGTGTTTCCCTTTTCCTACCTTGTGACCATGACAGGGGTGAGGAAATGCCCTCACTTGCAGAACAGACAGGCAAAAAGGTAGGGGTGGGTGGATGCTAAGGGATAGCCTGACCTTCTCTGCTTCTCCCTGATCTAGCAACCTCATGGGATAATCCATGTTCCCATCATTCCTCTCAACTACATCGGTTGCATTAACCACTAGGCAGGCTAGCAAAACCTCTGTCCCCTGTACAGGGGTGACATCTTCAACCATGGTGAGCAGCCATTGTTCCTGACCATGGCAAGTCATGAAAGCTAGCAGGGGCAGACTTACTAGAAAAGTATACCTGTTTAAATACAGTCAAAAGAGTCTAGTCACCTCCTTTCCCTGGCTGAGGAGAGCCTTTAGGAGGAAACAGAGAAAAGGCCTTATCTGGGAGCCACAGAGTGCAGAGTGGAGCAGGTACAGACACAAGACAGGCAGCCTGAAGCAAGGGTGCAGAGAGGGAGGCTCCTGTGTGGAACAGATCTGGGATAAAGCCTTGAAGGCACCGAGAGCAGCACTCTCCAGGGATGTGGAAGTGATTGTGCAAAATGTGTTCTTTCCAGACCCCCTAAAAGGTGGTGGTTTGGAAGAAAGCCTTCCCTCTGCAAGCACACGGCGGGATTGGATCTGTTATTTTAGCTTGTTCCTCTCTCATATGGACCAGAGCCTTCATGGCTTGATGTTAACCCTCTAGACGAGCTTGCTCCCATTTTGTTTCCCCGTGGGGTCGGCCCTGTGCCGGTGTCTGGGGTCGGCCCTGTGCGGGTGTCTGGGGTCAGCCCTGTGCCGGTGTCTGGGGTCGGACCTGTGCGGGTGTCTGGGGTCAGCCCTGTGCCGGTGTCTGGGGTCAGCCCTGTGCCGGTGTCTGGGGTCAGCCCTGTGCGGGTGTCTGGGGTCGGACCTGTGCCGGTGTCCCCGAACCCAGCGAGGGGCGGGCGGGGCCGGGCCAGGCCCGCCCCGCCAGGGGGCAGCCGCGGGCCGCGCTGCCCGGGGCCGGGGGCCGCAAAATCAGGGACATCTCAAAAATAGGAAATATTTTTTATCGCCCTCTTTTCCTTTTTTTTTTTTTTTTTTTTTTTTTGTCGGTCCCGCGGCGCTCCCCCAAGCCCTTGTCCTGAAAATGTCCCAGTGGGCATTTCCCACTGGCAGAGAGGGCCTGGGTAATGGGCAGTGGGGAGGTGAGAGTGAAGGGGAAGGTGGGGGCACGTGGGACAAGGACATCTGGGACAGAGGCACAGGAACACAAAAAGGAGGTTTTAGGTGGAGGGGAGAGGCAGCACAGGTGTGACTGCAGTAATGTCATGTCATGTGGCTGTCAGAGTAGTTTGGTGTTTGCTGCTTGAAGCCACCTGGGAAAACATGCTCCAGTAGAATCATAGAATGGCTTGGGCTGGAAAGGACCTTAAAGATCATCTATCTCCAACCCCCCTGCAGTGGGCAGGGACACCTTCCACTAGAGCAAGCTGCTCAAAGCCCCATCCAGCCTGGCCTTGAACACTTCCAGAAAGAGGTACAAACCCACCTGAATAACGTCACCCAGGGCACCATTGCCAGCACCTTCTTGTTCAGATGAAAGGTGGATTTTGAGTGGGGTTTCACCTTACATCCGATTCAGTTTGGCATAATTATTTTTGTTTCTTTTGTTATAAAGGATAAACATAAGGACTTCATATTTTACACATGAAATAAAACCATAGCTGTAGTGTTGGGCAGGATTGGATTTAAAAGCAGGATTAGATTTAAAAAGTATGTGGGCAAATTGGGGAAATGGTCTGGAAGAAACAGGAGGCAGCTGAATAAGGAAAAAGTGGAAGGTCGCACACTTGAGCAACAATATGAACTCCCAGAGTACAGAGGAGGGAGTGATGGGTTAAGTAGCAATTCTTCAGAAAAAGGATCAAAAGCTGAATGCAAGTCAGCTATGTCATGGTGTTGAGGTGATGGAAAATAAGTTGAGGGTAGATGTGGCGTAATTGGATCCAGCCCAGTAGAGAGCAGGGAGAGCAAGCGGAAGTGGAGAAACCATTACCTACCAGGGAAGTCTGAAAGAACTGAATTCTCTAACCCTAAGGAAGAGAGAACTGAAGTCTTTAGGCACATAAAAGGACATAATCGTTGCTCCTTGTCTGTGATGGAGGAGAGGAAAAAAAAAAGAAAGAAAAAAGAAGGCTTAAGTCACAGCAGGAAAGGCTCAATTTAGATGTTAGGAAAAACTTTCTAATGACAGGGATAATAAAGAATAGACTGCCTGGGGAGCAGAGAGCTTTAAGATCAAGTTAAGCAACATCTGTCAGGGATGTCCGAGGTTTAGGTGATCCTGCTTCGGTTAGTGGGATGGACTGGTCTGACCTTTCAAGGTCCCTTTCAGCCCTAATTTTTCAGTGGTTCTGTGGGTCGACATTAATCTTCTTGATGGTATTTAAACAGTCAGCAGCTTCTCTTAAGTAACTGCTAGCAAGTCTCTTCTCTTGCCTGCGGTTTAAAATTAACTTAATTTCCATGCATCACTTTCGCCCTCCAGCTCCCAAGTCCTGCACAGCCAAGCAGCAGCTGAATTCCTGGACTGCTTGTCAGTACCTTCCTTGTGGCTCTGTAGCTATGCACAAAAAAAAAAAAAAAAAAAAGGATACAAATGCTGCATACAGGTGTGAGGGTGCCCTCCTTTTCTGCACTTATATGTAGGAGATATGGTCCCCCTTCTTGAGACAGCAGAATCTCATATGTGGTTATTTCATTTTGTGCCCTTCAGGAACCTGCCTCTTCATGTTGCCTGCAGCCTTCTGAATCTATAAGGTTTGAGTGTCCAAGCCCAGACACTGCCCAGCGTGCGTGGCACTTCTGTGTAACAATGTGTACAACAAGAGGTGGTGTAATTAATACTTGTCCACAAGTGATCTCTCTTCAAATGGGGCAGACTCCAGAAAGAAGGAGGCTGAAGTTGGCCCTGGAGGCCCTTGAAGCCACTAATGAAGGTGAATTTTCATCTGCCAGCAACAGAGTAAGAGGGAGAGAAAAAGCCAGGCCACGATGAGCAGTATCTGCAATCCTTGTTGAGTGCCATTGGAAAACAAGGAGAGCTGGTGAGTGTGTTCTGAAGGCATGGTGTTTGAAAACTTCTTAGTTTTTTGCTTAAAACAGAAAAGACAGCATTTCCATAGCTGGGAAAAACTGAAAAAAAGCTGAAAAGAGAGGGAACCCCTGCCTGAAGTCCTCACCTTTGGAAAATAACTCCCTGCGAGGCACTGAGCTGCACATATGGATTGTGAAGGGTGACCATGAAAACTGGGTGAGTATGGCATCAAGAGGATCACTGACCCCACATCACAGCTAGAAGATCAGCGATAGAGGAGATAGCCATAAACCAAAACAGGTTATCCAAAGTCAGGAAAACATGAGGCTTCCAAACCTTCATTGCATCCTCCTTATTTACTTAAACAGAAAAGATTACATTTCTATGGCTGGGAAAAATCATCCCCATTGAGAGAGAGAACCACGAGTATCTTACCTGCCCACAGACAAGCAGTCACAATTTCTCTCACTAATCTTCTCCAGTGGTTTTAACCATCCAAGGTAATTGTGGGCCCGATACACAAGCCTTCACACTTGCT